TTTTTAAAAAAAAAAAAAAAAAAAAAAAAGGGGGGGGGGGGGGGGGGGGGGGGGGGGGGAAGGCCAAGGGTTAAGAATCACAAGTCTCCTAACGGGACGGAGACGAACCAATTAACTATATACAAGCGTGGCCGTGGTTTCACTAGGGTGATTCAGATTTTAATCAGATAATTTTAAAAATTTTAAGTATGCACTGTAAGTATTTTGTGCATTCTGAACCGTGATTCTGAACCGTGGGTTACAATTCAGTGGTTTAAGGTCTGGGTTAAAAGGGTGTATTACGTTTTGTATGATTGATCCCCGATTTCCCAGCTGAACTAGTTATATTTTTTTAAAAAAAATTAATATGCTCATGTCTTGTTGATCCTTAATGTATAAATTGGTGGACAGTAAAAAATGCAGACTGCAGGCTGCAGACTGAATGCAGATCATTGTTTTCAGGGTTAGAAAACAATGGGACTATCAGTGGCTTCACAGCTTAGTTGGTTAGAGCGTCGCACGGTATTTTTTTCAGCCTTCTTACGCAACTGCATAAATCGCGTTCACAACTGCGAGGATCAGTCTTCATTTGATTTCATTTCCGCAGTTCTCATATATGATTTATTTCATTTGCAATTGTCAATGGGACGATTGTTGTCACGTTCCCATTTGCATGGTGAAAACAGTGTTTTGCACTGAGAGCAGTCTGCAGTCTTCATTTCGTACTTATGTTATATATTGGGACACGCATTGTGTCACTTAATTAAAACTGTTTTCAAATTTAAGTAAAATGGGATTTCAGAGACGAGTTTAACTTATATGGATAAATTATTAGCGTTTCATACAAGAGTAAACACTTTGCCTTCCACGTTTGGGAATGAATATGCTCGTAGTTTTAACTGTAAGTTTTGGACGATACACTGAATAGCCTGCGCAGAGACAGGAGCGAGTGACCGCTGGCAAATTGGACCGTCTGAGAATTATTAGAGTGACTTTTGCCTTATTTTAATAACCCTTTTTTTAGGAAAAGCGTTGCCAGATAGTCCTTCCATGCCTGCAAACAAAGGAAAAAGGGCCCGAAATCTAATTTTCATCCGAAAACGAGATTTATTTTCCTTATCTATTTTTCCACCACCACTTCCTTGTAGAGCTGAGTCCGCCTCTGTCTCTTCACTCGTAGACTATTTGTTCTGCCATTAAACTAGGTTTAACTCTTAATCTTGTTTCTTAATTACTGCGAGTCATATCAATCATAAAAGACGTTTTCGTGTACTACTGTTTAAAGTATCCAAACAGTGGAAGATATTAGATTAAGAATTTGGACGCTACAATAACTTAATGATGTTTTGTTGTAATTGTGCTAGGTTGTAAAAGTTGGGCTTTTTATCAAGTAGATCAGTTCCAGATCAGAACACGTACACAGCGACGTTCTGAGGTTTGGCGTTTGGAAATTACAGCAATCGTTACAGCTATCATCATTCTATCGAGAATCTGACCTATTTTACTGCCTCTAGATTGCTTTTCTCGAGGCCATTGACTTTTAGCCATCCCTCAGTTATATTGTTTAAAGGAGCTGCTTTAATTTAGGGATGTCACCATTAGGAAAAAGGATAGGAGTTTGGGGGAGGGCAAACGCATTAGTAATTAAAAAGTCTCCACACGCACCATGATCAAAAAAGCTCTTCGAGGAGGAAAAATAGATTTTCACCTCAGGAGTAGAGAGAAAACTTTCATAGACCTCCCAAAAATTCAACACAACCCGTTACTTTCCTAATGGTTCATCCCTTATACCGCCCCATGTAACGGAATCCGGAATGTGGGAAAAATTTGCGAGTGGAATCCGGAATCCTGGGCTTTGGAGTCCGGAGTACAGCTCAAAGAATCCACAATGCCACTAGCAATTGGAATTGAGAATCCAAGTTCCACTGACAAAGACTGGAATCGAATACCTGGAATCCGGAATCCGTGACGTGGAATCCAGAATTCCAGACTATCTTGGATTGCCTTACATGGGGTGACTTATAGGTCGGCTTGTTGAACTGCTTCTACTTGATCTCGACACGTAGCACGATACAATGTTTAGTTTCTGATGTTACCTTAAGATAAATAATGTTGTATTAAACCTGAAGAAAACGAGATGTTTACTGTGATTGTTGATCTCTTTGATGCCTTAAACCGTTTTAAAACAACTTCTCCTTGAGTTGGAATAGTCAATATTTGATTAACAAACCACTCCCCACTCAGAGGCGCTAAACATTTTCGATTCTAGGACGTTTTTCACATATTTTAAGGCAAGTTTCTGATTCCGTCATCAAATTATCCCGCTAGGTAAATCGGTTTTCAAGCAAGAAAACCCAACTTTCAAGCAGAAGTTTGATGAAAACCATTTGACCTCGTTTCACCATACAACGTCATAAGAAGCATAAAGGCACCAAAAACTCATTCCATTATATTTTCAAAAAGTACCATGGTAGTGACACACAACTTTGCCACGGGTATCTGCGCAGCCAGTTGACTCAGCAAAACAAAAACGTGTTCAAACCAGTTTTTCCCATTCAGGGATGTACCTTTGAAACAGCA